CATTCTATTCCTCCTTTCTACCCAAAGCTGGTGTCTGTGCCTGTATTCACCAATCAGTCACCGCCTCCAGGATCCCAAATCTTGACTTTTCCAATCGTGAATTTCAGCTAATGTGGCTGAAACTCTGACATCATTCCTTTTGTGTTCTGCGTCATTTCCTCCATAGTGGTGACTCTTCTGTCTTTGATTTTCTATCTTCGAACACTGAAAACTTATTTTCAATCGACCCCAACTGCCATGTTACCATCGTCGGAGATTTTAACGTTCATATTCAGGACTGGTTGACAAATTCATCTGCTACTTCTCCTTTGGGGCGTGAAGCCGCACACTTCGCTTTGATCAACAACCTGAGTCAACTAGTTGACCTCTCCACACTTATCCGTGATCGAGCTGGCGATGGTGCCCATACCCTCGATCTAATTCTCACTTTGGTTCCTTTCTTTCTTCTCAGATATTGGTAACCTCTCTCCTCTTGGCTCATCAGATCACTGTATTGTTTCTTGTTCTATTAGATTTTCCAACCCCGAGCCACNCAGCCAAATGAGACGGTTTCCGTAATTTCCTAGCTTAGTATCCATTTAACGATTGTTGTTTCTCTTCGGATGTTTCCAAATCTGTTTCCAACTTCACCGACGTTTTTTTCAAGTTATGCATCTTTTTATTCCGCACGTTTCCAAACCTGGCAAACCCAAATCCCCCGAGTATTTTAAGCATGCATATGACCGTGCTTTATGCCTAAAACCCTCAACATTCCGCCACTGGCGCCGCTCGACAACTCCCGACTCCCACTATTGCTTCGGACAAGCTACAAACAGATGTTCGATGACCATTCAGAGAACCAAAGAACGTTTCGTTCGCTGTAAAACCAAAAACTTGATCTCGCCTGCAACCTAACATTTTGGTCCCTTGCCAAAGCAGTTTCCCGTAATTTCTGCCCTTCCAACTTCCCCCTATCTGTAATTCCTCTGTTGATCTTGTGTGTGTGTGTGTCAACCACGCTAGAAAGCTGAGGTTTTACTTCCCAGTTTGCCGCAAAATCCACCATACCCAACTATCCTACAACTCCAAGTTATTCAATGACAGCTCTTTTTGATTTCATATTACCACTAGGAAAATCCGTCAAACACTGCGCTCTCTAAAAGCAGACAAACCACTCGGTCCGGACGGTATTCCACCCATCGTTCTCAAAATGTGTGCTCCCGAGCTAGCTCCTATTTTACGTCGTCTTTTCAGTCTTTCCCTTCAACTTTATTCCTTTCCAACCCCTGGAATCACGCCGTAATTTTTCCCCTTCCCAAACGCGGCGATCTTTCTAACCCCAACAATTACCAACCCGTCTCCCTCACATCTGTTCTTTCCAAAGTATTTGAAACTATCACCTCTGATCAGCTACGGACGTTCCTTGAACTTGACGGACTACTGAGCGACCGCCAATATGGCTTTCGTCAGCGTCATTCCACCAGTGACCTGCTGGCTCTTGTCCCAATTCCGGTCAGCTTCACTCGATAACCACGGAGAAACACACTTGGTCTCCCTTGACATCTCAAGGGCCTTCAACCGAGTTTGGCACGAAGGTCTACTGGCAAAACTACCCATGTTCGGTTCCCTCCGGCGCTCTTGTCGTAGACATCAAGTTTCCTGAGTAAGCGAACCATCTCCGTCCGAGTTGATGGGGTCCTATCTCAGCCATTTCCTATGAATGCTAGTATTCCCCAAGGTTCAGTACTTACGCCCACCCTCTTTGTCCTATTTATCAATGATCTCCTTTCCAAAACCGTCAACCCGATCCATTCTTTCGCCGATGACGCCACCCTCCACTGCTCTCTATCCTACCGTACTACTCACCATGCCCAAACCAACATCGATCGTGGCCGTAGTGCAGTTAATGTGTCACTGGACTCCGATCTTGAGCATATCTCCTCCCGAGACATTGCAAACCACGTTTCATTCAATAGTTCTAAAACTTCTGTCCTTTCAATTTAGTTTCAATTCATTCTCCCCCCCCTGTTAGCTTTTGATTCCACTCAACTGCGTTCCACAGACTCTGTATCCCTTCTTAGACTGCCCACAGCTTCTACTTAATGCTGATCCCCTTTTATAGCTC